AATTTGCCCATACGAGCAACACATCTAATACATTTAGTGGTCCATTCTTGTGGATTTTTCCAAACTGAATCAATATGTTCTTGGATCTTGACATATCCATCAAAGTCTCTACAGACCAAATAATAATCACTTCCTCCACGGAATTGGTCAATAACAAATTTGTGAATTGAAGCATCACCAAACATTCCGTTATCAATAGCGGCTAATACCTCAGCAAGGTCTTTACTAATTGGAATTGGATTAGCACGAATTCCTGCAACTTCATATGCCTTAGCTCCAAACATAAACATATTTTCTTCTCCAACTTCTTCTGCAATTTCAACATTAGCACCATCCCATGTACCAACAATAAGTCCTCCATTCATAACAAACTTCATACAGGAAGTTCCAGATGCCTCATATCCAGCAGTTGAGATTTGTTCATTAATATCATTTGCTGGAATAATAACTTCTGCTAATGAAACACTGTAATTTGGAATGAAAACAACCTTTAATAAATTTCCTACTTCTGGGTCATTGTTTACAGTATCAGCAACGGAATTAATCAATTTAATAATTCCTTTAGCCATATCATATCCAATAGCTGCTTTACCTGCAAAGATTTTGACTCTTGGAACAAGTTTCATTCTTTGCATTGGTGTCATCTTTTTGATTTGAAGGTATGTATGAATAGTACCAAAGAGATTTAACAATTGTCTCTTATACTCATGGATTCTCTTAACCATAACATCAAACAATGCATTTCTATCTAATACAACTTTAGAATCTGTCAATCTAAAAACAAGTCTCTTTAATCTGTCTTTATTAAGTTGTTTAACATGAATGAATTTTTCAATCAATTCATGATTAAATACATTCTCAAGACCTTTAACAAGGGACAAATTAGATACCCATTCATCTGTTTTAATTGCTTCAGTAATTACTTGACTTAAAGCTGGATTACATTGTTTGATCCATCTTCTTGGTGTAACTCCATTAGTAACATTAATAAATTTGTGTGGCCATAAAACATAGAAATGATTAAAGAGGGAATCCTTAAGAAATTGTGAATGAATAGCAGCAACACCATTGA